AGGGGCAGCAGAGCGCGACGCGACGGGCTGCCTGAGGGCGCGACGCGCGGGCTGCAGCAGAGCGCGACGCGCGAGGCAGCAGCGCGCGACTCCTAGGCTGCCTTAGGGCGCGACGCGCGGGCTGCAGCAGAGCGCGACGCGCGGGGCAGCAGCGTGCGACGCGCAGGCTGCCGTAGGGCGCGATGCGCAGGGCCGCAGCACGGGCGTAGGGCAGGGCGCAGGCGTAGGGCAGGGCGCTGGCGCAGGGCAGGGCGCTGGTGCAGGGCAGGGCGCTGGCGCAGAGCAGGGCGCTGGCGCAGGGCAGGGCGCTGGCGCAGGGCAGGGCGCTGGCGCAGGGCTGGGCGCTGGCGCAGGGCAGGGCGCAGGCGCAGGGCAGGGCACTGGCGCAGGGCAGGGCGCTGGCGCAGGGCAGGGCGCTGGCGCAGGGCAGGGCGCTGGCACAGGGCAGGGCGCCGGCGCAGGGCACGGCGCTGGCGCAGGGCAGGGCGCTGGCACAGGGCAGGGCGCCGGCGCAGGGCAGGGCGCTGGCGCAGGGTGACGCCAGGCAGGGCGTGCGCTAGGCAGCGCGACGCGGGGCAAGGCAGGGCGTGCGCGGGGCAGCGCGACGCAGGGTAGTGGGGTAACGCGGTAACCGCAGTCGGAAGCTAAGTATAGTGGGCCCGAAAAAAAAACGGTCCTACGGACCTACTGCTCTGAAACCATGTCAAGATAGCAAGCAGGAATGGTTGCATTGAATGAAATGTGGGTACAAGTACTAACCCTAACTTCGGGTTGTACCCCATATGGGCTACCCCACTATAGCCTACACAGAACTAACACATATATAGTTTGACAGATGCAATGGGAAAGAAGACGTGGAAGAACTTCTCCGATAGAAATGGGCCAACAAGAGTAGATGCGGTGTGGTATGAGCGGACTGAGAGTGGAAATTCGCTCTGCAACCAGTTTTGGAAGAGGTGGAGGAGGGAGGTGCTAGGAAGTGAGGAATGTGTCCTTGAGATGCTCAATCAACCAACACGACGGGCCAGCAGCGATACCCCGTGGGCTGATCGAAGAGCCAAGTGGAGGAGCTAGGCTGACAGCTGTGGATAAGAGTCTGGGGTGAAAGAGGCTATAATTGAGCAATAGGCTGCGGGGCAAGCGGGTGCTAGGAGGAGAGGGATGAAATAGTATCAGGGAAAGGAGGTGCAAGCTCGCCGCACTTGGCAAAGCGCGATGAGTGATGGATGCGTGCCTGGTATCTGTAGATCATGCTGAAGCGAGGTTGAGAGGGCGAACAACAGGGGTGGCAGCGGCAAAGGCTTCAAGGGAAAGCGCATGCCAGTCCTCGCTGATAAAGCGTTGAGCGAGGAGGGCCCATGCTGCAGTAAGCGTTTGCGAAGCAGGCCCTCAGATTGCAGGAATTTTACCCTGATTTTGCCTTTGAACCCTGATTTTCAGGGTCTTTTTAGGTCCCAACCCTGATGAGAAAGTTTTTTTTTTAATGCCTACTCTGTTTTTTCAGCTAACTTTCGTGTACCAGGCCTGAAATTTCAGCCTACTTTTGCTAGGGGACCCTGATTCGAATCATACAGTAGTGGGGCCATCCCTGTTAGCGAAATTGCCTAGATTCGATGAATCTGGCAAAAATTTCGCCCAAAATTTTCCCCGTCACCGTCAATCACGTGAAACGGCATCTTAGGGCTGTTTCCTACACCCCCCTTATCTACATCTTGTCAGACTCGCCTCAGACACCATTTGTTTGGCGAAGTGCGAGACAGAAAGCGTGGGGTGACATGGCACTGCGCAATGCTCCCGAAAGGTTGTTGAGGAACATTCCCGACTGTTGCTTGCGAGCGCTTGTCTGATAACGTGACAAAACAGAGACCTTTAGCACACGTGATTGCCTAACCTGGACCACCATTGCTGCACCACCACTGTCTCCAGAGACCTTTAGCACACGTGATTGCCTAACCTGGACCACCATTGCTGCACCACCACTGTCTCCCTCCCCCCGTTCCTGTTGAAAAACGAGTTAACTAGAAGCTAGGGTTTTGGAGAGGCTTAGCAAGGAGAAACATGGAGGGAGGAGTTTGGCCAAAAGGAGAGCTTTGATATTAGGCAAGAGTACAAGATATAGGAGAAGGAAGAGAGAAGAAGAGGGTACACCACCAGCAGTTGATGGTAATAACTAAACTAATACACTAGCAAGCTATAGGCAGGTATAAGATATGCAATATCAATTAACACACCCCCGTAACTGCCTATGGCTATAGCTAGTGGTGTCTGGCACCAGGTCGCCTGGAGAGCAGTTGCTTGTAGCTGGGATATGCACAGAAACAGCGGTTGCTGACCGGCAGCACCTGTGAACGCCAGAACGGAGGAGGGCGCGGAGAGCGCGGAGGAGGGCTGGGATAGCCGGAGGGCGAAGGATGCTGGTCGCCCGCCATCTACGAGCAAACACAACTGTTGGTGAGGAGGAGGAAGCTGCTGGTGGTGCACAGGAGGAGAGCGGAGGAGAGGCGGATGGAGGAGAGGAGATAGGAGGAGGAGATGGTGCCACGGAAGGTAGAGGGAGGAGGTGCGGCTGGAGGAGAGGAGATAGGAGGAGGAAAGGTGAAGAGAGGCGGCTGGAGGAGAGGAGAGAGGAGGGGCGGCTCTGGTCATACCCGCCACCCCCACACCCCTTCCCCTCCCCCCCACTGCAGCACGGGCGGCAAGGGAAGAGAGGATGGGCGGGGGTGCTGGTGCTGCCAGCCAACTCACGCCACCCTTTTACCTTCGCCCCCCGGCCCCGCCACATCCCCCCCCCAAAGCAGATGTCGCGGGTGAGGCGTGGCAGGGCGCGGGTGTTGCTGCTGGGAGCTCACGGCGGCCAACCGCCCCACACCACGTCCCTAGCGGGTCTGCTGGCGCGCTGGCGGGTCCGGAGGCGCATCGGCGGACCGCTGGCAGGGCCGTTGGCGGGCTCCCTTGCGCGCTGACGAGTAGGCTGGCGCAGTCGCTGGCGCTGGTGTTGACACACGTCGCTGGCGCAGGCGGCCGTCGTTGGCGCTAGCGCTGGCGCTAACGCTGGCGACGGTCGCTGGCGCTGGCACTGGCGCTCACGACCAGCGAGCGGGCGACGAGGCTGCACGTGCGCGGGAAGCTGCACGTGTGCGGCCGCGCGCGCGGCTGCTGATGCGCTCGTGACGGGAGGGGGCGGGACAGCGCGAGGGGCGAGCAGTGAGTGGGGAGGGCATTGCGGGACGGGGCAGCCAGCACACGGTGTGCTAACGGGCTGCGCGACTGGTGGGCCCATGGTTCTTAGGTCCTAGGAAAGGACCTGCTCTGATACCATGTTGAAAAACGAGTTAACTAGAAGCTAGGGTTTTGGAGAGGCTTAGCAAGGAGAAACATGGAGGGAGGAGTTTGGCCAAAAGGAGAGCTTTGATATTAGGCAAGATTACAAGATATAGGAGAAGGAAGAGAGAAGAAGAGGGTACACCCCCAGCAGTTGATGGTAATAACTAAACTAATACACTAGCAAGCTATAGGCAGGTATAAGATATGCAATATCAATTAACAGTTCCCGTCACATCATGATGAAGGCTGGTTACATCAGCGTTAAAAAATGTACCAGCCCTGATGAGAAAGTTTTTTTTTATGTGACAACACTGATTTTTCAGGGTTTATTTTTGTAACGACCCTGACAGAAAGTTTTTTTTTTAGGACCAACACTGATGAGAAAGTGTGGCCCAAAACGAATCTGAGGGCCTGTTGCGAAGGGGCAGCATCATTCAAGTAGAGGACAAGGAGCATGAAAGTTAGCAAGATAAGATGTGCAGCAATATCAGAAGGATGTTGTTCAAGCACGAGAAGGCGAATGCGAGGAGGAACGCGGCGGATGATGGGTCCATGAGAAAGTGTCGGGTTGAAAAAAACATACCAATCCCACTCGAGGACAGCCTAGGTGGCAAAAGGGATTGCTGGCGGGGACTGTGCAATTGCATATTGAGCACCAGGAGGGGCGGGACGAGGAGGAGGACACACAGCTTGCTGTCTTGCAGCAGAGTTTTGCTCGTAGGAGGCGGTATGGCGAATCAAGGCACTAGCATTAGCGCAAGGACGGTGCCATGTAGGGCAGGAAATAGAACGGCCGACAGGAGGAGGATTGTTGAGCGAAGGCGCGGTAGAGGATCTAAAGGGGGATGAGGAAGGGGGACGGGGAGGGGTAGAAAAGCGATGAGGGGGTTGCGGGGAAGGAGCAGTTTCGTAGTGTGAGCGGGTGCGAGTCGTCTGCAGGGGCCATGGAATCGGGTGCGTTTGCTGTGGTAGTTGGATGGGCTGAGGTAGGTGAGGGATGGTCACGTGAAGGCGAGGGCCTCGGCCCCTCTAACTGGTTTTCCCTTTCTTAAGTGTTGTGTTGGTCTCGTTCCTTCCATACTTCCTCGATTCATCTTTCATCGATTTAACTGTTCCTTCAAAACATCCTTTTGTATGGATGCCGTTCCTTCGCTTCTCGTTCCGTCGGTGCATTTCCTTCCATATCTTCAATTTCGTGATTCTACGTTCGCCCGTTTTCAGAATCGGTATAAATGCATCGTTCTGTTTCTTTTATATTTACCATCTTCCCTCCGTTTTTCCGTCTCCGGTCAGTTTTCCCTTTTATCCGTACTATTTTCTTGTCCGCAGGACCCTTGCTGTTTTCTTCAGGAAGTCGATTTCTATATGAAAATATTGTAGCGATTATTTATAGGGTTCATTGTATTGCAGTTTTGATTAGTTATTGTGGGTTTTTTGCCGAGTATGTCGTCGTGCATGCGTTTGACTGCAAAAGCATGAAAGCGCAAAACGGGGGTGTTCCGAGAATTGAACTCGGGACCTCTCGCACCCTAAGCGAGAATCATGCCACTAGACCAAACACCCGCGTGCATACTGATGTGTGGTATTTATTGATTTGTTTTAATGGGTCTTCTCGTGAATATCGACTTCAAGCAGCCTGAATCACCTTTCACTAGGCTTCTCCGTTTGTCGATCCTATGCTTGCCTCCCATTCATCCATCGTCCCCTGCTTCGGCCTCAATCCAATGGCGTCGTCTAGTGAAAACGAGGCACTTCCAGTCTGGAACGCGGAGTTCTTTTTCATTGGATGCTCAGAATCGCATGCATCGGCTCGAATCCCTCGCCTCCACCCAATTGCCTCGAAACCGTCCGTCGTCGAGGCCGACACTCAAATCTCCGCCGTGCCTATATATTATCGTCAGCTTCACCGTCATCTTAACCGTCAGATTGTTTTCCCGTCAGTCGTTGAGGCCGACGCTCGGATCTCCACCGTGCCTTATAACTCGTCCTCCCTCCTCGCCGTTTGCTATTAGCTTCGGCGTCAGCTTGCGCTCACGTCCGCCAATCCACAAGGAACGACCGTCACAAGCGCGCGGCAGAGCGAGCCGTCATCGTCACGCAGCGCCACCACCATCGCCTCTCGCCGCGCGGCGCCTTCGCCGTCTTCGATCTCACTCCCCTTGCCGCGCTGCACTCCCTCCTCCCCCCCCCCCCCCCCCCCCCCCCCCTCCCCCCCCCCTGCGCTGCTTCGAGTCGACTCAAACCGCCACCACCATGGCCTCTCGCCGCTCCCCGCCCTCAGCATTGTCGCTTTCCCTTTCCCCCGCTGCGCTGCTCGTTCTAGGCCTGGCTCTTCTCGGCCTATCCTGGCCGTCCATCGCCGCGTCGTCCCGGCGCGTGCTGCTGCAGGCCGGCGGCGCGGCATCGGACCGCGCGGCGGCGTTCGGGAGCCGCGTGATCTTTAACTCGATGCAGAACGTGGGCGTGCAGGACGGCGGCGCCATCTCGCTCACGCTCGACCGCACGGGAGGTGCGAATAGAGGGCAGTGCTCTTGTTTCTCTTGAGGGCAGTGCTCTTGTTTCTCTTGAGGGCAGTGCTCTTGTTTCTCTTGAGGGCAGTGCTCTTGTTTCTCTTGAGGGCAGTGCTCTTGTTTCTCTTGAGGGCAGTGCTCTTGTTTCTCTTGAGGGCAGTGCTCTTGTTTCTCTTGAGGGCAGGGCGTGTGGACAGACACACAGTGGCGGGTTGTCGTTTGAGCTCTTGTTTCTCTTGAGGGCAGGGCGTGTGGACAGACACACAGTGGCGGGTTGTCGTTTGAGCTCTTGTTTCTCTTGAGGGCAGGGCGTGTGGACAGACACACAGTGGCGGGTTGTCGTTTGAGCTCTTGTTTCTCTTGAGGGCAGGGCGTGTGGACAGACACACAGTGGCGGGTTGTCGTTTGAGACACACAGTGGCGGGTTGTCGTTTGAGCTCTTGTTTCTCTCAGAGGAACAAGCAGCTGTCCTCTGCGCCACCAGTCGTCTGACCTGGGAGTCCAACGCTGCACAGCTATAGTGGCGTGTGGCTGTCACCAGCGTGACTAAATCTACATGCAGCCCTCATGTCACATCTTTCTGCTTCACCCCTCCTGCGTTTGCTGTGCTGGCCTGGCCTGTTCTGTGCTGTGCTGTGCTGTGTGTGTGTGCGCATGAGTGGCAGGAGCGGGGTTTGAGTGCAGCGACGCGTACAGCTTTGGCATGTTCAGTGTGGAGGCCAAGATGCCTGCCGGCTACTCTGCTGGCGTCTGCGCCACCTACTTTGTACGTCCCTCCCAACCCAACCTGCTGCTTCCTCCGTCCCAATCTCTCGCATTGCTTCTTTCTTGCATTGCTGGTTTGTGTCAGAATGGGGAATCGCTGGGTCAATCCTCTTGCTGTGCTGCTCGCCTGCACGTTTGCACGTTTTTACGCTTGCATGCTCACATCACACATGAGCCACCCACCCCTTTCCCCCACCCCACCAACAGCTGCAGTCAGGGTCATACGAGCAGCGCAACGAGTGGGACTTTGAGTTCCTGGGCTCGCCCAACACGTCCGTGGGCATGACGCTGCAGACCAACGCCTTCATGGGCGGCACGGGCGGCCAGGAGGAGCTCTCTGCGTTTGGCTTCGACCCCGCTGCTGACTTCCACACCTACTCCATCCAGTGGGGCCCCGACCAGACCGTGTAAGGGCTCAAGAGTCAACACACGCTCCCTTGCTCGCTGTCGTCTGCATGGTTCTTCTTACATGCGCAAGAGCCAGTGGGATGGATGCTTTCATGCATGCGCCGTGCATTTTCTGGTTACTGGTCTGGGCTGTGCTCACATACGCACGCTCACACATACACACATACGCTCACACATACGCTCACGCATGCACACATACGCTCACACATGCACATATACGCTCACACATACGCTCACACATGCACACATACGCTCACACATACGCTCACCTGCCTTCTTTTTTATGCCTTTTGTCATTGGCTCCACGCCCAGGTGGCTGGTGGACGGGGAGGTGCGGCGAGTGATGGGCAGCAGCAACCCTGCGTACCCGCGGGACCCCATGCGAGTCTACTTCAGCATCTGGGACGCCTCCACCTGGGCCACTGGGCCCAGGACTGCGCGCATCCCAGTCGACTACAGCTATGCTGTGAGCCTCCTTCTATGCGCCCTTGCATGTGCCCTTCTGTGTGCTCTTCTCCCTTGTCTGCACTCGTTCTTGCACCTCCACCCGGGCCACTGGTCCCAGGATGGCACTCATCCTTGTCGACTAAAGCTATGCTGTGAGTGCCCTTCCATGCGCCCTTCCATGCGCCCTGCCATATGCCCTTCTCCCATGTCTGCGTGCATACTTGCACCTCCTGGCCCACCAGGCCCAGGCCTACTCGCATGCCGATGTACATAGTGCTGTGCTGTGCTACGCTCTTCTCCCGCCTCTGGGCTGGATGTGTAGTGGGCAGTTGGTTGCGCGGCATGTATGAGGTGGGTACTGATCGGTCCCTCTGTGTGTGCGCTGTGCTGCATGCAGCCGTTTGTGGTGACGTTCAGGAACTTCAAGTACACGGCAGCTTGACTCGTGCGCGGTGCACTGCGGTGTAGTGCAGAGATGGTGATCTGATACTGGCAGTGTGCTACGTGCTTTCGTATGTTCATGTACAGTTCAATGTATGTAAAGTTTTGTGCCATACAACCTCGGGCAGCTTTCTACCATCTGGGGTCAAGCCCACCTGGGGATAAGGGCGTATTCCTATCCTCCTATCAAGAAAACCTCCTATCAAGCTCTCACTGGAAAATTCCCTAAACCCAAAATCTCTCGCTACTTTTACCAGGCAAAAGGTACAATCTTGATAGGAGGTTTCTTGATAGGAGGCCGTAGGAATACGCCCTAAGACTGTTTCCAAACCCAGCTGAACCTTTGCATTTGAACCTTTGCATTTGAACAGAACTACAGTGTCTAACTGAGGAGAAAGGTGGCAGGCTTTGAGTGCCTGTAAGCCACGGCTTACAGCACTGGCCCTTCCATTCCTTCCTCTGCATTCACTCTGAATCCCTCCCACCTAGCTTTCACACTCTGGTCCTCTCAGCCTGCCTCGCCCTCACCCATTTGCACCACCAGCCACGCCTATCATGTGTTGCAGCAAGTACAGCGATCCCATGTCATGCCTCTCCTCCACCTCACCATTCATGCCTCTTCTTCCCCACCCTCATCACCCTCCTCCCCACGTGCCGCTGCAGTCGCTGCCACCGCTCCTGCCTGTCCCTCCTTCCCTGCAGCGTACCCAACCACGCACCGCACCATGCGCTGCTGCCAGCACACCCGCCTCATATCCCCATTATGCCTCTTCCACACCCCCGTCCCCGCCATCATCCTCCTCATGTGCCGGCTGCAGTCGCTGCCACCGCTCCTGCCCGTCCCACCTCCCCTGTAAAGCAGCCAGCCACGCCCCGTGCCGCTCCCCCACCGTTTTCACTGCTGCATCCTCGTGCTGACAGCGAACACACAAAGAGAAGGTGGGCGGGAGAAGGTGAGGAGGGGGAGGGGGGGAAGGAGAAGGAGGGGAAGGGGGTAGGGTGTGGGCAGTGCAAGGCACGGAAGACAGAGTGCAGGGAAGGGAGTGGTTCATCTGTCATGCGTCCCTCTGCCTTGTGGTGTCACCATCCAGGAACCATACTACAAGAACAGCCATGCATGTGTAGTGCTGAGAGTCTGTATGTGCAAGCAGACATGCATAGCATGTGCACATGCACTCACCAGCAGCGCAGGCGCTCACCTGGTGAGGCGAGGGGTGGGGGCAGATGGCAGCGTGCAGGGCACTGGCGCACTGACTGCGGCGAGGGAGAAGAGAGTGGGGAGAGGGAGGACGGCGGAGTGACGCATGGTGATGGCTTCAGTGGTGGGAGGCGGAAGCAAGCACAACAGACGGCCACACGGATGAGCATGCGCGGAGATGTACCTCACCACACCGGCAGCACAAGCTCACACCACACCGGCTGCACAAGCTCACACCACACCGGCAGCACAAGTAGCCCCACATCCAGCACAGCACAGCACAGCACAGCGCAGCATAGCACAGCGCAGCACAGCACAGCACAGCACAGCACAGCACAGCACCGCACGGCACGGCACAGCACAGCACAGCACAGCACAGCAAAGCACACAGCACGGCACAGCACACAGCACAGCACAGCACTGGCACCAGCCAGTCAACCAGAAACAATAGAAGATCCTGTGACAATAGTTACTGGTATGAGCGAAAATGCATGGCCTGTGACATGTAAAGATAGCGCTGAGAACCCTCAAAAGTCAAATGGATGGCCTGTGACATGTAAAGATATGCTTGGCCTGTGACATGTAAAGATATGCATGGCCTGTGACATGTAAAGATATGCATGGCCTGTGACATGTAAAGATATGCATGGCCTGTGACATGTAAAAATAGCGCTGAAGGGCTAGGGTGTCAGCAGCAGATGCACCCACTGCATACGATGGCGTCAGCACCTGATGACGATCACGTCATCATCGCTGACATGGGTTACGGGCATGGTGGCAGCGAAGTCTATGAGTGAATCTGAGGGGGGGATGCAGGGGGGCATAGGGGGCAAGCATGGATGGATGGAGGCATGGACAGGGGCAGGGAGGGGTTGTGGCCGGAAAGAGTGGGCGGGGGATGGGATAGAGGACGTAAAAGAAGGGATTGTGAGAAGAGTAAGAGTGGATGCGGAGGAAGGGGCGGAAGGATGGGGGTTTTGGACCGCAGGGAGAGGCGAGACAAAGGCTTGCAGGACATGGGAACGATGTGCAAGAGAGATGGTCGAAAGAAAGCACTGCTCCTCACACACCTCATCTGATCCTCATGCTGCACACCCATGTTTCAACTCTCCCGGTGCCATCTCTCCTCCCTCCATCCCCTCCCTTACCTCATGCTAACTTCCCCCTCAAACCAAAAACACCACTCCGCACCGCATTCCCCTAGTGGGTGTTAGAAGTAGCTGCCACGCATTCGCACATACATTTGACACCTGCACCTGACTCAACCCAACCCCAACTAACCCCATGAACCACAGGACCATGACATGTTTCCTTCCACACCCATGGACCATGACATGTTTCCTTCCACACCCATGGACCATGACATGTTTCCTTCCACACCCATGGACCATGACATGTTTCCTCCCACACCCATGGACCATGACATGTTTCCTTCCACACCCATGGACCATGACATGTTTCCTCCCACACCCATGGACCATGACATGTTTCCTTCCACACCCATGGACCATGACATGTTTCCTTCCACACCCATGGACCATGACATGTTTCCTTCCACACCCATGGACCATGACATGTTTCCTTCCACACCCATGGACCATGACATGTTTCCTTCCACACCCATGGACCATGACATGTTTCCTTCCACACCCATGGACCATGACATGTTTCCTTCCACACCCATGGACCATGACATGTTTCCTCCCACACCCATGGACCATGACATGTTTCCTCCCACACCCATGGACCATGACATGTTTCCTTCCACACCCATGGACCATGACATGTTTCCTTCCACACCCATGGACCATGACATGTTTCCTTCCACACCCATGGACCATGACATGTTTCCTCCCACACCCATGGACCATGACATGTTTCCTCCCACACCCATGGACCATGACATGTTTCCTCCCACACCCATGGACCATGACATGTTTCCTCCCACACCCATGGACCATGACATGTTTCCTTCCACACCCATGGACCATGACATGTTTCCTTCCACACCCATGGACCATGACATGTTTCCTCCCACACCCATGGACCATGACATGTTTCCTCCCACACCCATGGACCATGACATGTTTCCTTCCACACCCATGGACCATGACATGTTTCCTTCCACACCCATGGACCATGACATGTTTCCTTCCACACCCATGGACCATGACATGTTTCTTCCCACACCCATGGACCATGACATGTTTCTTCCCACACCCATGGACCATGACATGTTTCCTTCCACACCCATGGACCATGACATGTTTCCTCCCACACCCATGGACCATGACATGTTTCCTTCCACACCCATGGACCACGACATGTTTCCTTCCACACCCATGGACCATGACATGTTTCCTTCCACACCCATGGACCATGACATGTTTCCTTCCACACCCATGGACCATGACATGTTTCCTCCCACACCCATGGACCATGACATGTTTCCTTCCACACCCATGGACCATGACATGTTTCCTCCCACACCCATGGACCATGACATGTTTCCTTCCACACCCATGGACCATGACATGTTTCCTTCCACACCCATGGACCATGACATGTTTCCTTCCACACCCATGGACCATGACATGTTTCCTTCCACACCCATGGACCATGACATGTTTCCTTCCACACCCATGGACCATGACATGTTTCCTTCCACACCCATGGACCATGACATGTTTCCTTCCACACCCATGGACCATGACATGTTTCCTCCCACACCCATGGACCATGACATGTTTCCTCCCACACCCATGGACCATGACATGTTTCCTTCCACACCCATGGACCATGACATGTTTCCTTCCACACCCATGGACCATGACATGTTTCCTTCCACACCCATGGACCATGACATGTTTCCTCCCACACCCATGGACCATGACATGTTTCCTCCCACACCCATGGACCATGACATGTTTCCTTCCACACCCATGGACCATGACATGTTTCCTTCCACACCCATGGACCATGACATGTTTCCTCCCACACCCATGGACCATGACATGTTTCCTCCCACACCCATGGACCATGACATGTTTCCTTCCACACCCATGGACCATGACATGTTTCCTTCCACACCCATGGACCATGACATGTTTCCTTCCACACCCATGGACCATGACATGTTTCTTCCCACACCCATGGACCATGACATGTTTCTTCCCACACCCATGGACCATGACATGTTTCCTTCCACACCCATGGACCATGACATGTTTCCTCCCACACCCATGGACCATGACATGTTTCCTTCCACACCCATGGACCATGACATGTTTCCTTCCACACCCATGGACCATGACATGTTTCCTTCCACACCCATGGACCATGACATGTTTCCTTCCACACCCATGGACCATGACATGTTTCCTTCCACACCCATGGACCATGACATGTTTCCTTCCACACCCATGGACCATGACATGTTTCCTCCCACACCCATGGACCATGACATGTTTCCTTCCACACCCATGGACCATGACATGTTTCCTTCCACACCCATGGACCATGACATGTTTCCTTCCACACCCATGGACCATGACATGTTTCTTCCCACACCCATGGACCATGACATGTTTCCTTCCACACCCATGGACCATGACATGTTTCCTTCCACACCCATGGACCATGACATGTTTCCTTCCACACCCATGGACCATGACATGTTTCTTCCCACACCCATGGACCATGACATGTTTCTTCCCACACCCATGGACCATGACATGTTTCCTTCCACACCCATGGACCATGACATGTTTCCTTCCACACCCATGGACCATGACATGTTTCCTTCCACACCCATGGACCATGACATGTTTCCTTCCACACCCATGGACCATGACATGTTTCCTTCCACACCCATGGACCATGACATGTTTCCTCCCACACCCATGGACCATGACATGTTTCCTTCCACACCCATGGACCATGACATGTTTCCTTCCACACCCATGGACCATGACATGTTTCCTTCCACACCCATGGACCATGACATGTTTCCTCCCACACCCATGGACCATGACATGTTTCCTTCCACACCCATGGACCATGACATGTTTCCTTCCACACCCATGGACCATGACATGTTTCCTTCCACACCCATGGACCATGACATGTTTCCTTCCACACCCATGGACCATGACATGTTTCCTTCCACACCCATGGACCATGACATGTTTCCTCCCACACCCATGGACCATGACATGTTTCCTCCCACACCCATGGACCATGACATGTTTCCTTCCACACCCATGGACCATGACATGTTTCCTTCCACACCCATGGACCATGACATGTTTCCTTCCACACCCATGGACCATGACATGTTTCCTCCCACACCCATGGACCATGACATGTTTCCTCCCACACCCATGGACCATGACATGTTTCCTTCCACACCCATGGACCATGACATGTTTCCTTCCACACCCATGGACCATGACATGTTTCCTCCCACACCCATGGACCATGACATGTTTCCTTCCACACCCATGGACCATGACATGTTTCCTTCCACACCCATGGACCATGACATGTTTCCTTCCACACCCATGGACCATGACATGTTTCCTCCCACACCCATGGACCATGACATGTTTCCTTCCACACCCATGGACCATGACATGTTTCCTTCCACACCCATGGACCATGACATGTTTCCTTCCACACCCATGGACCATGACATGTTTCCTCCCACACCCATGGACCATGACATGTTTCCTTCCACACCCATGGACCATGACATGTTTCCTTCCACACCCATGGACCATGACATGTTTCCTTCCACACCCATGGACCATGACATGTTTCCTCCCACACCCATGGACCATGACATGTTTCCTTCCACACCCATGGACCATGACATGTTTCCTTCCACACCCATGGACCATGACATGTTTCCTTCCACACCCATGGACCATGACATGTTTCCTTCCACACCCATGGACCATGACATGTTTCCTTCCACACCCATGGACCATGACATGTTTCCTTCCACACCCATGGACCATGACATGTTTCTTCCCACACCCATGGACCATGACATGTTTCTTCCCACACCCATGGACCATGACATGTTTCCTTCCACACCCATGGACCATGACATGTTTCCTTCCACACCCATGGACCATGACATGTTTCCTTCCACACCCATGGACCATGACATGTTTCTTCCCACACCCATGGACCATGACATGTTTCTTCCCACACCCATGGACCATGACATGTTTCCTCCCACACCCATGGACCATGACATGTTTCCTTCCACACCCATGGACCATGACATGTTTCCTTCCACACCCATGGACCATGACATGTTTCCTCCCACACCCATGGACCATGACATGTTTCCTTCCACACCCATGGACCATGACATGTTTCCTTCCACACCCATGGACCATGACATGTTTCCTTCCACACCCATGGACCATGACATGTTTCCTTCCACACCCATGGACCATGACATGTTTCCTCCCACACCCATGGACCATGACATGTTTCCTTCCACACCCATGGACCATGACATGTTTCCTTCCACACCCATGGACCATGACATGTTTCCTTCCACACCCATGGACCATGACATGTTTCTTCCCACACCCATGGACCATGACATGTTTCCTCCCACACCCATGGACCATGACATGTTTCCTTCCACACCCATGGACCATGACATGTTTCCTCCCACACCCATGGACCATGACATGTTTCCTTCCACACCCATGGACCATGACATGTTTCCTTCCACACCCATGGACCATGACATGTTTCCTCCCACACCCATGGACCATGACATGTTTCCTCCCACACCCATGGACCATGACATGTTTCCTCCCACACCCATGGACCATGACATGTTTCCTTCCACACCCATGGACCATGACATGTTTCCTTCCACACCCATGGACCATGACATGTTTCCTTCCACACCCATGGACCATGACATGTTTCCTTCCACACCCATGGACCATGACATGTTTCCTTCCACACCCATGGACCATGACATGTTTCCTCCCACACCCATGGACCATGACATGTTTCCTTCCACACCCATGGACCATGACATGTTTCCTTCCACACCCATGGACCATGACATGTTTCCTTCCACACCCATGGACCATGACATGTTTCCTTCCACACCCATGGACCATGACATGTTTCCTTCCACACCCATGGACCATGACATGTTTCCTTCCACACCCATGGACCATGACATGTTTCTTCCCACACCCATGGACCATGACATGTTTCTTCCCACACCCATGGACCATGACATGTTTCCTCCCACACCCATGGACCATGACATGTTTCCTTCCACACCCATGGACCATGACATGTTTCCTTCCACACCCATGGACCATGACATGTTTCCTTCCACACCCATGGACCATGACATGTTTCCTCCCACACCCATGGACCATGACATGTTTCCTTCCACACCCATGGACCATGACATGTTTCCTTCCACACCCATGGACCATGACATGTTTCTTCCCACACCCATGGACCATGACATGTTTCCTCCCACACCCATGGACCATGACATGTTTCCTTCCACACCCATGGACCATGACATGTTTCCTTCCACACCCATGGACCATGACATGTTTCCTTCCACACCCATGGACCATGACATGTTTCCTCCCACACCCATGGACCATGACATGTTTCCTTCCACACCCATGGACCATGACATGTTTCCTTCCACACCCATGGACCATGACATGTTTCTTCCCACACCCATGGACCATGACATGTTTCCTCCCACACCCATGGACCATGACATGTTTCCTTCCACACCCATGGACCATGACATGTTTCCTTCCACACCCATGGACCATGACATGTTTCCTTCCACACCCATGGACCATGACATGTTTCCTCCCACACCCATGGACCATGACATGTTTCTTCCCACACCCATGGACCATGACATGTTTCCTCCCACACCCATGGACCATGACATGTTTCCTTCCACACCCATGGACCATGACATGTTTCCTTCCACACCCATGGACCATGACATGTTTCCTCCCACACCCATGGACCATGACATGTTTCCTTCCACACCCATGGACCATGACATGTTTCCTTCCACACCCATGGACCATGACATGTTTCCTTCCACACCCATGGACCATGACATGTTTCCTCCCACACCCATGGACCATGACATGTTTCCTCCCACACCCATGGACCATGACATGTTTCCTTCCACACCCATGGACCATGACATGTTTCCTTCCACACCCATGGACCATGACATGTTTCCTTCCACACCCATGGACCATGACATGTTTCTTCCCACACCCATGGACCATGACATGTTTCTTCCCACACCCATGGACCATGACATGTTTCCTCCCACACCCATGGACCATGACATGTTTCCTTCCACACCCATGGACCATGACATGTTTCCTTCCACACCCATGGACCATGACATGTTTCCTCCCACACCCATGGACCATGACATGTTTCCTTCCACACCCATGGACCATGACATGTTTCCTTCCACACCCATGGACCATGACATGTTTCCTTCCACACCCATGGACCATGACATGTTTCCTTCCACACCCATGGACCATGACATGTTTCCTTCCACACCCATGGACCATGACATGTTTCCTCCCACACCCATGGACCATGACATGTTTCCTTCCACACCCATGGACCATGACATGTTTCTTCCCACACCCATGGACCATGACATGTTTCCTCCCACACCCATGGACCATGACATGTTTCCTTCCACACCCATGGACCATGACATGTTTCCTTCCACACCCATGGACCATGACATGTTTCCTTCCACACCCATGGACCATGACATGTTTCCTTCCACACCCATGGACCATGACATGTTTCCTCCCACACCCATGGACCATGACATGTTTCCTTCCACACCCATGGACCATGACATGTTTCCTCCCACACCCATGGACCATGACATGTTTCCTTCCACACCCATGGACCATGACATGTTTCCTCCCACACCCATGGACCATGACATGTTTCCTCCCACACCCATGGACCATGACATGTTTCCTTCCACACCCATGGACCATGACATGTTTCTTCCCACACCCATGGACCATGACATGTTTCTTCCCACACCCATGGACCATGACATGTTTCCTCCCACACCCATGGACCATGACATGTTTCCTTCCACACCCATGGACCATGACATGTTTCCTTCCACACCCATGGACCATGACATGTTTCCTTCCACACCCATGGACCATGACATGTTTCCTTCCACACCCATGGACCATGACATGTTTCCTCCCACACCCATGGACCATGACATGTTTCCTTCCACACCCATGGACCATGACATGTTTCTTCCCACACCCATGGACCATGACATGTTTCTTCCCACACCCATGGACCATGACATGTTTCCTCCCACACCCATGGACCATGACATGTTTCCTTCCACACCCATGGACCATGACATGTTTCCTTCCACACCCATGGACCATGACATGTTTCCTCCCACACCCATGGACCATGACATGTTTCCTTCCACACCCATGGACCATGACATGTTTCCTTCCACACCCATGGACCATGACATGTTTCCTCCCACACCCATGGACCATGACATGTTTCCTTCCACACCCATGGACCATGACATGTTTCCTTCCACACCCATGGACCATGACATGTTTCCTTCCACACCCATGGACCATGACATGTTTCCTTCCACACCCATGGACCATGACATGTTTCCTTCCACACCCATGGACCATGACATGTTTCCTTCCACACCCATGGACCATGACATGTTTCCTTCCACACCCATGGACCATGACATGTTTCCTTCCACACCCATGGACCATGACATGTTTCCTCCCACACCCATGGACCATGACATGTTTCCTTCCACACCCATGGACCATGACATGTTTCCTCCCACACCCATGGACCATGACATGTTTCCTTCCACACCCATGGACCATGACATGTTTCCTCCCACACCCATGGACCATGACATGTTTCCTCCCACACCCATGGACCATGACATGTTTCCTTCCACACCCATGGACCATGACATGTTTCTTCCCACACCCATGGACCATGACATGTTTCCTCCCACACCCATGGACCATGACATGTTTCCTTCCACACCCATGGACCATGACATGTTTCCTTCCACACCCATGGACCATGACATGTTTCCTTCCACACCCATGGACCATGACATGTTTCCTTCCACACCCATGGACCATGACATGTTTCCTCCCACACCCATGGACCATGACATGTTTCCTCCCACACCCATGGACCATGACATGTTTCCTTCCACACCCATGGACCATGACATGTTTCTTCCCACACCCATGGACCATGACATGTTTCTTCCCACACCCATGGACCATGACATGTTTCCTCCCACACCCATGGACCATGACATGTTTCCTTCCACACCCATGGACCATGACATGTTTCCTTCCACACCCATGGACCATGACATGTTTCCTCCCACACCCATGGACCATGACATGTTTCCTTCCACACCCATGGACCATGACATGTTTCCTTCCACACCCATGGACCATGACATGTTTCCTCCCACACCCATGGACCATGACATGTTTCCTTCCACACCCATGGACCATGACATGTTTCCTTCCACACCCATGGACCATGACATGTTTCCTTCCACACCCATGGACCATGACATGTTTCCTTCCACACCCATGGACCATGACATGTTTCCTTCCACACCCATGGACCATGACATGTTTCCTCCCACACCCATGGACCATGACATGTTTCCTCCCACACCCATGGACCATGACATGTTTCCTTCCACACCCATGGACCATGACATGTTTCTTCCCACACCCATGGACCATGACATGTTTCTTCCCACACCCATGGACCATGACATGTTTCCTCCCACACCCATGGACCATGACATGTTTCCTTCCACACCCATGGACCATGACATGTTTCTTCCCACACCCATGGACCATGACATGTTTCTTCCCACACCCATGGACCATGACATGTTTCCTTCCACACCCATGGACCATGACATGTTTCTTCCCACACCCATGGACCATGACATGTTTCCTTCCACACCCATGGACCATGACATGTTTCCTTCCACACCCATGGACCATGACATGTTTCCTCCCACACCCATGGACCATGACATGTTTCCTTCCACACCCATGGACCATGACATGTTTCCTCCCACACCCATGGACCATGACATGTTTCCTTCCACACCCATGGACCATGACATGTTTCTTCCCACACCCATGGACCATGACATGTTTCTTCCCACACCCATGGACCATGACATGTTTCCTCCCACACCCATGGACCATGACATGTTTCCTTCCACACCCATGGACCATGACATGTTTCTTCCCACACCCATGGACCATGACATGTTTCTTCCCACACCCATGGACCATGACATGTTTCCTTCCACACCCATGGACCATGACATGTTTCCTTCCACACCCATGGACCATGACATGTTTCCTCCCACACCCATGGACCATGACATGTTTCCTTCCACACCCATGGACCATGACATGTTTCTTCCCACACCCATGGACCATGACATGTTTCTTCCCACACCCATGGACCATGACATGTTTCCTTCCACACCCATGGACCATGACATGTTTCCTTCCACACCCATGGACCATGACATGTTTCCTCCCACACCCATGGACCATGACATGTTTCCTTCCACACCCATGGACCATGACATGTTTCTTCCCACACCCATGGACCATGACATGTTTCTTCCCACACCCATGGACCATGACATGTTTCCTCCCACACCCATGGACCATGACATGTTTCCTTCCACACCCATGGACCATGACATGTTTCTTCCCACACCCATGGACCATGACATGTTTCTTCCCACACCCATGGACCATGACATGTTTCTTCCCACACCCATGGACCATGACATGTTTCCTCCCACACCCATGGACCATGACATGTTTCCTTCCACACCCATGGACCATGACATGTTTCTTCCCACACCCATGGACCATGACATGTTTCCTCCCACACCCATGGACCATGACATGTTTCCTCCCACACCCATGGACCATGACATGTTTCCTTCCACACCCATGGACCATGACATGTTTCTTCCCACACCCATGGACCATGACATGTTTCTTCCCACACCCATGGACCATGACATGTTTCCTTCCACACCCATGGACCATGACATGTTTCCTTCCACACCCATGGACCATGACATGTTTCCTTCCACACCCATGGACCATGACATGTTTCCTCCCACACCCATGGACCATGACATGTTTCCTTCCACACCCATGGACCATGACATGTTTCCTCCCACACCCATGGACCATGACATGTTTCCTTCCACACCCATGGACCATGACATGTTTCTTCCCACACCCATGGACCATGACATGTTTCTTCCCACACCCATGGACCATGACATGTTTCCTCCCACACCCATGGACCATGACATGTTTCCTTCCACACCCATGGACCATGACATGTTTCTTCCCACACCCATGGACCATGACATGTTTCTTCCCACACCCATGGACCATGACATGTTTCCTTCCACACCCATGGACCATGACATGTTTCCTCCCACACCCATGGACCATGACATGTTTCCTTCCACACCCATGGACCATGACATGTTTCCTTCCACACCCATGGACCATGACATGTTTCCTCCCACACCCATGGACCATGACATGTTTCCTTCCACACCCATGGACCATGACATGTTTCTTCCCACACCCATGGACCATGACATGTTTCTTCCCACACCCATGGACCATGACATGTTTCCTCCCACACCCATGGACCATGACATGTTTCCTTCCACACCCATGGACCATGACATGTTTCTTCCCACACCCATGGACCATGACATGTTTCTTCCCACACCCATGGACCATGACATGTTTCTTCCCACACCCATGGACCATGACATGTTTCCTCCCACACCCATGGACCATGACATGTTTCCTTCCACACCCATGGACCATGACATGTTTCCTCCCACACCCATGGACCATGACATGTTTCCTTCCACACCCATGGACCATGACATGTTTCTTCCCACACCCATGGACCATGACATGTTTCCTCCCACACCCATGGACCATGACATGTTTCCTTCCACACCCATGGACCATGACATGTTTCCTCCCACACCCATGGACCATGACATGTTTCCTCCCACACCCATGGACCATGACATGTTTCTTCCCACACCCATGGACCATGACATGTTTCCTCCCACACCCATGGACCATGACATGTTTCCTTCCACACCCATGGACCATGACATGTTTCCTCCCACACCCATGGACCATGACATGTTTCCTTCCACACCCATGGACCATGACATGTTTCTTCCCACACCCATGGACCATGACATGTTTCTTCCCACACCCATGGACCATGACATGTTTCCTCCCACACCCATGGACCATGACATGTTTCCTTCCACACCCATGGACCATGACATGTTTCTTCCCACACCCATGGACCATGACATGTTTCTTCCCACACCCATGGACCATGACATGTTTCTTCCCACACCCATGGACCATGACATGTTTCCTCCCACACCCATGGACCATGACATGTTTCCTTCCACACCCATGGACCATGACATGTTTCCTTCCACACCCATGGACCATGACATGTTTCCTCCCACACCCATGGACCATGACATGTTTCCTTCCACACCCATGGACCATGACATGTTTCTTCCCACACCCATGGACCATGACATGTTTCCTCCCACACCCATGGACCATGACATGTTTCCTTCCACACCCATGGACCATGACATGTTTCCTCCCACACCCATGGACCATGACATGTTTCCTCCCACACCCATGGACCATGACATGTTTCTTCCCACACCCATGGACCATGACATGTTTCCTCCCACACCCATGGACCATGACATGTTTCCTTCCACACCCATGGACCATGACATGTTTCCTCCCACACCCATGGACCATGACATGTTTCCTTCCACACCCATGGACCATGACATGTTTCTTCCCACACCCATGGACCATGACATGTTTCCTCCCACACCCATGGACCATGACATGTTTCCTTCCACACCCATGGACCATGACATGTTTCCTCCCACACCCATGGACCATGACATGTTTCCTTCCACACCCATGGACCATGACATGTTTCCTCCCACACCCATGGACCATGACATGTTTCCTTCCACACCCATGGACCATGACATGTTTCCTTCCACACCCATGGACCATGACATGTTTCCTCCCACACCCATGGACCATGACATGTTTCCTTCCACACCCATGGACCATGACATGTTTCTTCCCACACCCATGGACCATGACATGTTTCCTCCCACACCCATGGACCATGACATGTTTCCTTCCACACCCATGGACCATGACATGTTTCCTCCCACACCCCTTTGTTACCACCGCACCATGCCATGCCATGCCATGCCGTGACTCACACAAGTTCTTGCACAAGCCCACTGCCGCCTCTGCCTCTGCTCGCCCCCTCTGCCCCTCCCTTTCCGCCACCACGTCGCTGCCGCCCCCATGCGGTGCACCCTCCCCAGCTGCGCCCTCTCCAGCTGCGCCCTCCCCAGGTGCGGGCGGGAAAGGTTCCTGGTGGCGGATGGCAGAGACAACGAGGTTGAGGAACTGGTGGCGCTGCTCGCCTGGTGGGGTGGGGGGGACGTCGAGGGGTGGGGGGAGGTACGTATGGAATAGCACGCGCTCTTTCGCGTATATATGCTTCCACACATGAGCAACACAGTAGAGAGGAGAGAGTTGTGGATGCACATGTTGCGGTGAGGCCAGGCGGAAATGGACATTTGTGTTGAGGGGAAGGCGGGGTGCAAAGCAGCAGGAACCAGCATCCTGATTCTACAGACAGGCGAAATTAGCAAGCAAGGACAGCAGGGCCGAGGGGGCAGCAGAGCAGCGCACCAGGGCAGAGGTTGGGGTCAAAGCAGTGCAGATTGGCGAACAGCTTCACCAGCAGCACCACACTCTGCCACCCACTCCCCACCCCGCCCTCGCCCCCGGCACCTCCAACCGCACCTCCACCCTCTTCCCCCCCTCCCCTTCCCACCCCACTCCTCCCTCCTCCCTGCGCCTTCGCTGCTCTCCCATTCCACGCCCACCCACCCACCCCGTCTGCCTCTGCTGCTACCCCACCCTCCCCTCCCTCCAACCATATCACCCCCTCCGCCCAGTCACTCTCTTCCTTGCCTTCATCACTCCCTCGCTTCCTTTTCTCACTCTCCTTCTTTCTCTTCCTTCCCACCATCTGTTCATCAACTCGGCAAAACTGAAAGTTTCCTCGAAGCTTCCCAACACTTCTGCCATCTCGTGGACCAACCCCCCTTTCTCTACTGCCCCTGCTGCCACTGCGGCTTTTCGACCCAGCTGCCTCCTTATAAGCAGCCCTCGTTACAGCCACAAGCCCTCCCTCAGAAAACGAGAATGGGCCAGAAGAAAGCGTCTCTGTCGAATCCTCCACACCGCTCAACCCACATTTGCCACTCCCCGCCCCTTCACCCCCCTTCCTATTCTCCTCCCCATGGCCGGGCACAGCAGGAGCGACAGCACAGGTGCGGTGCAAGGGTGAGGAGCAGCAGTTGAGGGAGTGTGAGCGTGAGTGGGTGAGATGGAGGGAGAGGCCGAGAGAAGGGAAGGGGCGGAAGAGGACGAAGGCGTCGGCCTCTCGGGCCACTTGGGCCCGCGTGAGCGGGCCGTATAGCCAGCGTGAGGCAAAGGCAGGCGACGGGAGGGCGAGCAGATGCACAAGAAGAGGCGCCTGGAGGGGAGATGTGGTTCAAGAGGAGCAGAGAGAGAAATGCAGAGAGGGAGAGAATATATGCGGTGTGCATAGGGCATGAGAGCAGGCCGTGCAGCCAGCGCTGAGATATGGGCGACTAGAAAGGTGAGAGAGGCGGAGGAAAGGAGAGGCAAGTGGTGGAGGGAGGTGCAAGAGAAAGGGACATGCACAGCAATGAGACTGAATAAAGCGTGTGCTGCCAGTGCTAGGCTGGCAGTGAGAAGTGATGGGGTGAAAAGCAGAACTCACAGAGGAGTTTGCTTAGTGTTGCAGCTGCTGAGCCACTCACAGCACATTTGCTAGGGTGTGCGCGCACATGCACGCATGTGAGCATGGGAACGTGTGAAGTGGAGCACAGGCAGAGTCTGGGAGTGGAACTGCTTGCATTAGAATTCCTCAAGAGTGAAAGCATGGCGTGAAGCATGAAGCAAAGACACACACAGGGCTACAGGTGAAAGGCTTAGGTGTCCAGTGCACAAGGCATGGGAATGTGAGTGAGGGGTAGCATGGGAATAAGGTGGCAGGTGAGCATGGCAACGCACGGCATGCAGCATGAAGAAGGGGCGGAAGCTGGAGTCGTCTGAAAGCACCTCCGCCGCCCGCAGCACGTTCACACTCAGCCGCCCCCAGGGGAGAGGCGCGTGTGGTGGGGGGAAGGAGGCAGAGGAGGAGGAGGGCGTGTGGCGGGAGAGGAGGCGGGCTGTGAGGTGAACGTTGGCGATGGCAGTGGCGTGCAGGAGAGAGAGGATCTGGGGGGAGGGAGTGGGCACGGGTGTTGGGGCGGGTTGAGGAGTGTTTGGGAAGAGAATGCAGAAGATGCAGGTGAGTCGCGTGGGATGGAGGGCACGTGCATGAATGAAGCATCTGAGAGTGGTACAGGCAGGCAAACGGTGGTTGAAGCATGAAAGCAGCGAACAGAGCTGTGCTCTCTTGTGAACAGACAGAGTGACAAGCACGATACCTCTTTTGTTACACTGTGCGCCAGCTGTAACGAGGCTGGATTGGCTGCCACGTCATCCAGAAAGGTGGAGCCGTCCGCCTCACTGACTGTGAGGAACTGCCATGGGCGGAGGGGAATGAGTGAGGGAGGGAGTGAAGGAGGGAGTGAGGAAGGTGACATGAGGGGAGACGGGAGGAAGTGAGGGACGCAGGAAGGCATGGTTTCGACAGAAAATTCAATGAACATGAGTGCGGTTTTGAGGCGCCTCAAAACTAAAATTCAATGAACATGAGTGCAGTTTTGAGGCGCCTCAAAACTAAAATTCAATGAACATGAGTGCGCCTCAAACTTCTAAGATGGAAAGAGAACAGAACCTGCGGAGTGGAATCACCAAACAGCACCCCAAGATTCACAGCACAGTCAACCGCAGCGGCAGCACGACACAGACCATCTGAATGGCTCGGCTCTTGCAGCGAGAAATGGCCGCCACCAGGGCCTCTGGCGGCACGGCTTGGCGTGACGGGCCATCGCATGGGGAGGCGGAGGGAAGGGGAGACGAGATGGAGGGATGAGTGGGGTTGGACGGCGGGCAGGGGAGAGGAGGGAGAGGCGGAGGGAGGAGGGCGGGGAGGGGCAAGCGGAGGACAGAGAGGAGCAGGCGGAGGAAAGCCCCGCCTTGGATGAGGTCCTGACGAGGGAAAGGAGGGGAGGAAAGGAGAGGGGAGCAGATGGATAGGGGGAAAATGTGGTGGTTTCAGGATGAGTGCACGTAGGGGAAAATGTGGGCCCAAAGTTGGGTTGCATGGGCACAGCAAGCCATGTGCACATGGCGCAAATCAACCGACACGGAGTGAGCACATTGCGCATGTGTGGGCGAGATTGGGAGCTTATTGATGGCTTCTGACCACCCCCCCCTGGTACCACTGCGCAGCTGCGCACCTACTGGCAAACCCACACACGCACCTGGTGGTGCAGCAGCAGGGCGCCCAGCCCATCAGCGCGGCACAGCACGTGCAGCACCTGCAGAGCCGCCTCGCACTGCCGCACCACCCCCTGCACCGACCCCCACTCCACACCGCCCTCTTGCCATGCCCTCCCTTCATCCCCGCCTGCATCCCTCCCCCCATCCCTCCTTCCAACAACCCCTCTGCCCGCATGTATGAAGGCGGCAAGCGGGGGCGAGAGCAGGGAGTGCAGCAGGAGGAAGGCGGTGGTGACGGCTGAGAAGGCCGCCGGCAGGAAGGCCCCCACCTGGGCGGGATGGGTAGGCGCATGGGGAGGAGGAGGGATGGGTAGGTGTATGGGGAGGAGGAGGGATGGGTAGGTGTATGGGGAGGAGGAGGGATGGGTAGGTGTATGGGGAGGAGGAGGGATGGGTAGGTGTATGGGGAGGAGGAGGGATGGGGATGGGTGGGAGGATGGATGGGTGGATTGGTGGGAAGGAGGGACAGGTGGATGGGATGAAGGAGGGACGGGTGGATGGGATGAAGGAGGGACGGGTTTCAAAGAGGTTTCAACACACCAAGGGGTGCAGGGAGAGCACGGAGCAAGTGTCGATCCAGTCGGGGGTGACGAAGGCGGGCAGCAGGTACAGGCATGACGCCACCGTTCCCGCATACAGTGCTGCTCCCCCCACTGCCGCCTCCTCCACTGCCGCCTCCTCCACTGCCGCCTCCCCCACTGCTGCATTTTTAATTGCTGCATCTCCCGATGCTGCCTCCCTATTTCCAACGTTCTCCCCTCCCGCCTTCCCCCCCATCGTGCATGCCTCATCACCCTTGCCTGCTGCACCATCTGCCCTCGCTGCCTCACCTGCCCTCGCTGCCTCACCTGCCCTTGCTTTACCACCTACACTCGTCACTGCATCCACCCCTTTTGCCTCCTGCGTGCCACTACTGCCACCCACAACCCCCATGCTATTCTCTGCATCCCCCCCAGTGCCCTCCCCACACTTGCTGCCGGTGCCTGCTTCGCCTTCCCTTGCAGCAGCAGCTGAGCCATCAACCCCCTGCCCTCCACTACCATCCGGAGCAACCCTGTGGGTATTAGCACTAACAGCACCATCAGCACCAACAGCAGCACCACCACCATCAGCACCATCAGCAACACCACCACCACCACCAGCACTCGTGGCAGCACTAAAACAGCCTGCCGCCTGTGCCTGCTCGCACCCCCATACTCCCATGCCTGCTGCTCCTACTGCTGCTGCATCCGCCCTGCTGCCACCGCCCTTTCCACACCCGTCACCATCTCTGCTGCTGCCCCGCCCTGCACCACCATACCCGTCCCTGCCGCTGCCACCACCACTGCCATCGCCACTATACCCTTCGCCGCCCCTGCTCTTTCCAACGAGGTGCTGCCGGGGGGAACGGGAAGATGGCAACGTCCGTGAGAGCGTGCGAACACGTGGAGTGAGCGCGTCGACGCGGCACTCGCAAATGAGAGCTTGGGAGGGAAGGGGAGGCTGTCACAGCGTGGCACGGTGGGGTGACTTGCAGCCTTACAGGCAGCATGGACAGAAGAACAGCAGAGTGGAAAGAGAGCGGTGGAATGGGAAGCAACGCTCGGGACGAAAAGGGAGCAGGGAGAGGCGTGGGGCTACATTGGACTCCAATGATTGGAGGAGCCGTGGAGCCAACGGTGTGGGGCTCCACTGCTCCACTGACAGGGAAGGGCTACGGCTGTGGGGCATGGCAATGTTCTCAGAAGCGATGTAATGTGGTGTTTTTATTATTTGATGAAATACACTATGACATGCATACAAGTTACAACCACAGTCGTAACTGGGGTGGGGTGTGGTGTGGTGTGGGTGCACTAGCCGACCGCGCAAACAAGCCCACAGGTGCTTGGCATAGGAGCAGCACAGTAGAGAGAGCAGAAAGAGGGAGACGATGGGTGGCAGAGCAAGAAAAGGGTAGGACAGGGATGTGATAGCGTCTCTCACAAGGTGGCATGAGAGAGGGAGCA